TCAAATTGCTCCCCTTTCAGGTAACAGCCCAGTGCTTTAACCACTGCATCATCAGAGCACCTGATCTTTCCATAGGAAGCACTTAATGATTATTTGTACATTTGAGAAATCAGGTATTTTAACAGACCCACTAAATTCTATGAATTTAGTGCTTAACTAAAAATGTGGATTCTTGAGGAAGGTAGTCTTTTTTTGGCTATGCGTAGCATATGATGAAAGGACAACAATTTACTCCTGGTAGTTTTACTGAGGGAAAAAAAAACAAGTTAATAACATGTCAGTGTATTATTTCTTATACAGTAAATGAAATAAATGGCTTTTACCAAGGATGTAGTGCATGAGCACATTACCATTAAGAGGACAAAGTGGTTATGTCTTTATTCATGTGAAAATAATCATTTGGAAGCTGCTACTGTACAATTCTGGCAATGTGTAAATGTAGATACATATATGTGAGTATAAGTATGGATGCCCTGATCATACATGTAGTGCAGACTACATCTCAACTGCAAGTATAATGATTATAAACTAATTTTATTAGGAATGATAGTACTTAGAGGTCAAAGTGTTTTCTTCCTACTGTGAAAATAACATCTTTCATTGAAACTGGGGGCAGGGGCGGGAAGTAAGGGGCAGGATCAAGAGAAAGCCAAGGGCCATCATGTGCCCAAGGAAATGTTGGCTTACACCAAAATAGTCAGAGAAAAGCACCAATGGTAAAGCATTTCACCTCCACTTTGCCACATCACATCATTTCTGAAATCAAGGGAGGGCAAGATGTAGAAAATAAACAAATGGTTATTGTTAGAAAGGAGGTGGCAAACTATAGGCTTTCAAGTGAATAACAGCTTAAGACCTGAGGATGTTGGGATGCTGATCTAAATTGATTATCAAAGGCTCAAGATAAATGAATGTAGTCAACATAGGGTTGTGTATCTGGAGATAAGAGAGGCAAGGGCAGTAGTAAAGAAAAAGAGGAAACATTTCCCAGTTGACTTACCATTACAATTATTTTCTGAGAAACCCTGGGAAGGATTTAGCACTAGGCTGCTAACAGAAAAGTCTGAGGTTCAAATCCACCAATTGCTCAATGGGAGAAAGACAGGGTTTTCTCCCTTAAAGAGTTGCAATCTTGGAATCTCCCAGAGACAGTGTGACCCTGTGCTATAGGGTCACTGTGGGTTAGCACTGACTCCATGGCAGTGAGCTGGGTATGGTGCAGTACCCTGCCAAGAGAGGGCTGCTGTGAATTCACAGAGACCACCGGGACTCAGTTCTTTTGGTTTCATTATCACTTATTAATGCTCACATTCAAATATATGTGCGCATATCCACAGGAAACCTCAAGCCATCCTGAACCATCAAACCTGTAGATGTAAACCCAAGAACTGTGCGAGGGAGTCTTTAAATAGGTACTCCTTGGTGCCACAACAAATAAGGCTATTTCCCAGGCAGTCTGCGGAGCCATGAAATAACTCAGTGTTGGCCCCACTTAGCCAGCAGTAAGCTTTCAGCTAATTCTCATCATAAATAAATAGCCTTGACGGAGACATTAAAGATAGAAACAATAAAAATAGTCAGGAAGAGATTGCCATGATCGCCCATCTCGGTTTGCAGAAAAAGGTCTTAAAACACCAACAATGCAAAGTAGATTTGAACAATTACTTTTCCAAAGGGAGGGAGAAGATGCTCCCAGACATCAGAAGATGAGTGTCCTCAAGATTTCATTGATTAGTTGATAAGTTTGCTGGTGAATGATTAGTCGATTAGTCAGAAAGGTCTGAATTAGTTACTGGAGCTCTGCCTCCCATGAATAAACTGCGGGCGTATTCTCTTTCCCACCCTCTGGGACAGATGATATCTGTTTTCTCCTGTGAGTTTGAATTTAAGAGCCACTGAAGCTCAGCAACAGTATATTCTGGCTCAAATGAGCTGAAAATTGCATTCAATTTGAATTTCAAAAATGGAGGTGAAGAAAGAGGGGGAGGGACCTGCAGCACCCATCAAGATTCCACACTTCTCAACTACTTCCTGCTGCTCAGCTGCCTTCTGCAGGCCTGGGGACCTGAAACCCTGCATGTGCAGCAGGGGAAAGAGCATCTCTGGATCGCAGCCCAGTCTGGGTTTAAAAATAAACTTTTAATAGTCAGGATCAAAGCAAACCTCACTTTTACGCACATGCATAATGCAGATTGTGACCCACCAAAGAAAGAGATTTATCTCTTCCCAACTCAGGCGGCCCTGCTCCCCCAGCCCCTTTTCCTCCTCCTGTACTTGAGAGGCGAGAAAGGTGAAGGTGCTTTCCCTGGGAACCTCGAGAAAATCAAGTTCATTTCTAAATTAAAATAAATTCCTTTTCAGCTCACTCAAGACCCTCATGCCCAGTCGCTGGCTTCCATCCCTTTCACCTGCCTCACATTACACAGCAGATGGGTTCTTGAAAAGTCGAGGGAGTAGACATCTATTGATTTTTAAAAAATCAAATCATATTTTATGCTCTAAGAGAGTTTGTTATTTAAAGGAATCTCGTGGTACATTATTTTATAGGGCCAAGCTATTTTTAGCGTGCAAATAATTGCCCCCTTTTGCAAAGGCAAAGTCTGCCTGAACTTGGAAGTGTGTCCAAGTTTCCTCTCTTTCTTTTAAACAAAGACAATGTTATTTATTATGTTGTGCTTGAGAATACACACAGCAAAACATATAACAGTTCAACAATTTCTACATATGCCATTTGGGAACATTGTCACATATTCTTCAAGTTGTGTATTCTTGTTCACCCTACTTTTCCGAATTGCTATTCCTCCACGGACATAAACTCACTGCCCTCTAAGGATCCTATCTAGTCTTTCAAGTAGCTGTTGTCAATTTGATTTTATATAGATAGTTCTTACAAGAGCATGATACTCAAAACAGACTTTTTTTTTAGTTAAGCGAAACTCCTGTTTGGTTTTAAGAAGACTTTAGGAGATATGTTTTTTGGTTTTGTTTTGTTTTAGGTGTAAACGATATCTCAGGGCAGTAGTTCACCCAAACTTCTTGGCTCTATAAGGTCAGGAGTTCGTGAACATTTGAATTGTATTATGCATTTCTCACTTTTCCATTAGAATTCTTCTATGGAAGGTTGATCAAATGTTCAGTAATGATAGCCAGGTACCATCCAGTTCTTCTGGTCTCATGTCCGTGGAGGCAATAAGCTACACAATATACTAGACATCCTTTATCTTCCTCCTTATTCTTGACTCTTCTTCTCCTTCTGTTTTTCCAGTTGAATTGAACAATTGCTGTGCTTTGGATGGCCGTGTATACACTTTGAACTAGTTGGTAGAACAGAGACCCTAACACTTCATGAAGCTTATTAACTGGGATATACTATGAAACCTGGATCCTAAGCTTCCAAATGAAGGAACAAAAAGAAGTGTTTAGCTGTATAAAAGCATCTACAGCAACTACTCTTTTTTGTCATTGTTATAAAATATCTATCACACAATTTTTGTCAATTCAACTTTTTAAAACAAGTGTACAACTTATTGACAGCAATTGAAATAACTCAGTTATGCAACTCTACCCTTATTCAATGTAGTATTTTCATCACTGGTAACCCTTCAGTGCCCACCTAACCCCTCTAAGTTTACTTAGAGCTAGAAACACCTGTAGTTTAGAATAAAAACATGTTCAAGTACCCAAACTGATGTTACATCCCACAGCGGAGGAAATCCTGGCATCAAGTAACTGAACGATTTTGGCCACAATTCCGTTTTATGTTAGTGGGAGTTAAAGAAGCAGTGAGACTATCAACTTCGCTTCAATCCATTTCCAGCATGGAAACATACCATCCCAATGCCTCAATTATCCTCCCTTTGCAAATTAAGCAGTGTGGGTATCGTGAAAGCAGCCAACCAACGTCTTAAGAGCCATTTTCAACATGGAAGCAGGAGTCTGCTGACTGCTGTTCAAGAAGGCGGACTTCCTCTAGAGCAGCGTCTCTCAACCTGGGGGTCGAACAACCTTTTCACAGGGGTCACCCGATTTATAACAGTAGCAAAATGACAGTGATGAAGTAGCAATGAAAATAATGTTATGCTTGGGAGGTCATCACAACATGAAGAACTGTATGAAAGGGTCGTGGCATGAGGAAGGTTGAGAACCACTGCTCTAGAGGCTTCAATAACAAACCAGATTGAGCAGATTCATTAGCCATGAGTGTGTGTGGATTTCTTAAGCCTTTACTCGGGCAATAGAGGAACCAACCATTGAGGTCACGGGCTCTTCTCTTTGGAGTTATGAATGCTTCTGAGTGTGCGACGGACACTCAGACCTTCCTCACTTTAAGAAGCCCTCGTGCGGTGATCCACCCATGACCACCATTGCCATGGGTCTGTGGACACAAGTGATGGTCTAGGACACCAAGGGAGTGGTGCTTCCTGGTGACCTGACAAAGTAGGTATTCCGTAATGTTGCTTTAAAAGGGGATTGGAGCTTCAGCATCTAAAACTCCTTCGAAAGTACTATCTACGTCAATGGTAACTTTATGGAAAGTAGAACGAGAGAGGGCTTCCCATTTTAAATGGAAAAAGACATGAAGAAAAATACTACCTAACTCCCATTGTTTAAAAGGTGAAAATGAAGAACTAATTTGTCTGACTTCAGCAACCACGGCTTACAGGTCAATAGAGGGAATCAATAGAAACAAGGGAGGAGCCCAAAAAAGAAACCACACGATCCCCATGCAAGCAACACGCACTGAAGTCCAATTGGCCGGCATGCCTACACGAGAAAGCGTGAGGAAGCATAAAGGGTATTCTTTTCCTTTTGAATTTTAAAGCCAGAACATAGAAATAAAGGGAACGTTTTCAATGACGTTGTGAATGAACTACTTATGCCAGGGCCACAACGACAGTCACAGATGTCAAGAGGCCACGTAACCCGGCAATATGTTGCCACGTGGCACCGGGGGACGCAGACGGTAAAGGAACAGTAAAATCGTCTAGGAGACGGCTTACCTTTCAAACTGCGACAATATTAGTGTCGGGTTTGTTTCCTTACATCTTCATATTTCTGTGTCGTTTCATCGATGGACCAGTAAACTGTCAGCTCTAGTCATTTATGTGACGTAAGGATCCAGCCCAAAAAAGGAAGGAAAGGAAAAAGAAAAGCGAGGTCAATTTTCTTGGCTGCTGCACTTAATAAGCTCTCTCAGGCAATAGAGTTAAGCACACATTAATAGCTATGACAGTATGCCTGGCCTTTAGCAAGTCTTTGATTTTCCTATATATATACTCAGTGCTGTATTAACACTCAAAATAAGGTACAGTCTTCATTTCTTATTTTAAGTTTTCTTCCTCCTCAGCTTGATCAGATTTATTAATCTTCCGCTCCTCTCTTATTTATAGCAAATGCTCTGGTTAGAGTTTCAAAGCATCTTCCATTATCACACCCATTTATAACCTAGGGGGGGGGAGAGAAAACAATTTCTATCAGAAGGACCAATGGACTCTACTTATATTACATTATCCTCAAAAATGTATGCATTTCTCCAAATAAGAGGGCTTTGTTTCTTATTCCTATGGTCCTCGGAAAATATCAAAGGGAACAGGTAGACGGTACAGGTTTTCTGATTGGGAAAACTTGAAGCTTCTCTTTTAAACAACTCCGCAGTGGGCTTTAGCAACACATGCTCTTGGAAAAGCTGTTTCAGGGAGGATGCCTTTCAAAGGAAGCTATTACTTTGAGCCTCACGAAATTGCTATTATTCAGCCAGTTTGGGGCCTACCAAAATGCCAATGCCACACAATTAAAGTGAGTCTCCTCTTTTCCCTCATATCAAGGCACCAGTAAGAGCAACAAAGAGACCCCTTCAGCTATGGGAGAGTTCTGTGCTGGTCTTAAAGCTCAGGGAAGGCACAGGGAGAGGAGGGTTGTGACCACGCCGACATAGAAAAGCCCCTGACAAGTTGTTTGGCGCACACTCTGGTGCTGTTTATTAAGGATAAGATGTGGGAAAAACTAATTAGTCAGGTGGCACCAGGCCATTTTCCATCACACCCCTTGAGGCATGAATGTGGTAACTGTAGACTTTAGGGAGTGCACACTTCAAAGAGATTCCTGTATTGTGATTAGAAGATTCTCAGAGGGGCCTCTAAGTCGAATTCACTACAGACACCCTTCAAATCAACAGCTTCCTACTCCCCTCTTTCTTTAAAGAGGGAAGTTAAAAGTGAAATGCTTGACAATTAAACAAGATTGAGGTTTCAATGCCAACATCCACTTAACAAGCCAACTCTACAAAACACAATTGGAATCATTCTTTGATCGGTCTGCTTTAATGCTGACAAGAAACTATTTGGGTAATTGAAAACAAAGGCAATGGTTTGGGTAATAATTTAAAAATAAGTTCTTGTGTAGTGAGAGCTATGGATCAGCTAAACTCACAGTCCAAAAAGGCTTCCCGGAGAGATCGGCATCTAACAAGGTCTAGCCAATGGGGTCTCCGTGGAGTGGAGTTTACTTAAAAGAAACTGAAAAGGAATCAAGAAATGAGTGTCCTTAGCAAATAAGAAAAGAAGGGTATTTCCAGTGTACGCATGAGTGAGAAAGAAGACAAGATGACTCAAATATGTGAATCCAACCCTATTTATTTGCTAGGACTGTGTGCTTAGGAGACTTTCTTACAAACTGACTTAAGTATAAAGAAACATGGAGAAAGAGTCAATCCAACTGACAGGAGAGCATCAGCAGTCTAATTTAGACTACTAAATGAATGAAAGGGAACTTAGTGGAAAGGGAGTCACTGTTCTTCCCCAAGTACCCACAGCCCCACAGCTGCTGTCTTGGGCAGACACATTTATGTTTAAGCCACTACAAGTAAGGTGATCCCAAGTTGAATGATTCTGTTCAGAGATAACATGTGGAATATGTGGGATCAAAAGGAGACCAGGTTCCAAAAATCAGTTGTTGAAATTGATGATTATCATTAACATTGTGTCAATTTACAAAAAATCTGAATAAAACAAAAGTCCTTCAGGTACTGATTTCATCACTTGTTTGATGGCCCTGTTATCATGTTATCATTACTTTTATCCACATAATATTGCCAACGACTAGGAATATGGCTGTGGTTCTCATGTTAACTTTTGTTGTCCAATAGGTTAACTTTTAAGTACCTATATTTTCAAATTATACCTCTGAAATTGATAAATATTTGACACAATGTTAATATTTCAATGATTGTTTTTGGAGCCAGGTCTCCTTTTGATCCCACATGTACAATTTATCTCTGAACAGAATCATTCAACTTAGGATCACCTAAACATAGAGGTGGCTGCGCAAGACAGCAGCAGGCAGTGGCTTCCTCTACTCAGAGAGGGGAATAATTGGGAAAGAACAATGATTACCTGTGTCATTAAATTCCCTTTCATTCATTCAAAAAACTTTCAGGAAATGTTTCATGGGGAGAAAAGAGAAAGGTCTTGTGCTTCTACAATTCCTTGTAGAAGCATTTGAAGGATCTGAGCTGCAAGGTGCACGAGCTAGTTGCTCAATGGAGAATTGAGATCTTGCTATTTGGGAAGTCTTTGGTGGGGGGTGGGGAGGATGACGTAGAGACTGGCTTTCCAACCTTTGCAACTACTCTCTCCCACCATTCCAGTTTCGGGATGCTTTTCTATACCCACCTCATGCTCTGCTCCATTCAGGGTTCACAGGTAGAAGGAAATGGACATTGGGAGGGTATGTAGAATCATGTTGTAAGTTCTCTTCTTACTATAAAATTCAGTATATATTTCTGTAGAACATTTCTGTATTAAGTGGTGATAATGGACATCAAGGAGTCCAGAAGGAGAAGAATGTTTGGAAACTGATTGTGGTAGCAACTGTGTAATACTGCTTGATGAGATTGAACTGTGGAATGATATACGTATTAATTCCCAGTAAAAAATATATCAACACCTCAAAAGTGTGATGGAAAAATCATTGATAAAGAAACAATTATTAAACTTTTGTTTCCATGGGGGTAGGGGGGAGGGGTGGATGGTGACAACTAAGATGGGTAGAAGGTGTTATTTTTATTCAATACTGTAGAAATTACTAAAAAATAGAAATAAGAATGTTGTGAATGTTCAGAAGCTCACTTAAAGTCTCTGGGAGGTACACAGAGTAAAAGACAACAGACATAAATAGTGCTGTATACACAACCCTATAACAGCAATAACAAACAATATTTCAAGTAGACAAGTAGGTAGATATACAAGCTGAACAGAAGTGAGAAGGCAAGTAGGTGTATATCTAAGAGTATATATAGGTCTGACAGAGGAGATTTCTAAAATATATATTTAATATTGCTGCAAATATATTCAAGAATGTTGTGGAACACATAGGGGGCAAGGTTCTGAAAATGTTTTATCCACAGCCAGACATCTAGAAGAATAATTTCTGGAGTTCATAGTCTCTGGGGACAGCTAGGTCAAGTGGCATGACATAGTCCATTGAGAAAAGGTGTACTACTGCCTAGTTTGGGGAGTGGCAACTGGAGTCTTTAAAGCTTGTGAGCAGCCTTCTATGATGCAACAATTAGTCTCTCCTCATCTGGAGTAAAGCAGAGTGAAGAAAATAAGAGACATATGCAAATAATTAGTCCAAAGAAGTAATGGCTCACACAAACCACAGTCTGCAGTGCACGGAGGTCAGAAGAACTAGATGGTGCCCGACGACCACTACCAACCTCTCTCACTGGGATTACAACTGAAGATCCCAGACAGAATGAGAAAGAAAAATGTAGAACAAAATTTTAAATCATATGAAAAACCAGACTTAATGGTGTGTTAGAGACTGATGGACACCTCACCACCCTGCCCTAAGATCATGGTTCTTGTGCACCCTTCAACAATGGAAATGAATCCACCCTTAGGGAATAACATTCAGTGGATAACAACATCATGGAGAAGCATACACTTCATTACAAGCTGCCACGTGAGACCAAGAGGGAGCAGTTAGCCAACAAACAAAGCTCTGAAGGCAAGAAGAGGCAGGAAGGAAGGGCACCTGGAAATGGGAAAGCCAGGGAAGAGCTCGGAAGAGCACGACTGGCGACTGCTCCGTTGTGGGCACTGCACAATGTCACAAAACAAATGTTGTGCGTACATTGTTGAATGGAAAACTAACTTGTTCTGTCATATTTTACTCAAAATACTATAAAAAGTAAAAGCAAACAAACAAAAAAAGTTCAGTTACACTATGATTTCAGAAGGTTTTTATAATGGTAACCTAGAAATTGCACAAAAATTCCTCTCATTTTTTCCTATGTGTAAAAATTCTGAATTCCAAACAGCTCATGTTAAAATACAGATAGGTTTGTCTTGGAGGAAGTTTAACCAGAGTAAAATAAATAAACAAATAACTAAAATAAAGTAGAGATAGGGAAACACTGTTTCACAGAGTCCAAACTACACTCATTGCCATCAAGTTGATTCCAAGTCAGAGCAACCCTATAGAACAAAGTGGCATTGCTCCTGTAGGTTTACAAGACTATAAATCTCCCCAGAAAGAAAGCCTTATCGTTCTCTCTCAAAGCGCTGGTGGTCTTGAGCTGTTGATTTTGGGGGTAGCGCACAAATGTGTAGCCTTTGATGAGACCAGGCTGCCTATACCTAATTAATTGTTGATAAGGAGCACATGAGCTGACAACAAAGTGATTTGGGGGTACTGGGTACAGCTGTATGGATTACACACTGCCAAATTGCAGGGGACATTGGGGCATCTTAGCAGCAGAGCGGAAAGGTATGTTCTTCATGTCCCCAACTAGTAGTCAGAGTGGGCATTCCAATAAAGAGCCAGTTACCCTCAACATTTGAAACATCGTAGCAACCCCATCGTTGACAACAGAGCTGTCCTTAAGGATCTGAAGTTCTTTGGACTATGTCTTACTAGGAGAAAAGTTACTTGTAATTGACTCATAACTGGTAACATTTTAAAAGGGGAAAAGAAAATATTATTTTTGATCCTTCTGATTCTTAATTTAGGATCAGATCATAAATGAAGAACCAAAGCTACTCCTCAGATTTATTGATTCTCTTGCACTATAGTGTGTGTGTGTGTGTGT